AGCAGATATACGAGAGGATGGTCAGGCTCAAGAACGGCACGACATGATACCTGACGTAGCATTGCAAGTGCGAAGCGATGCAGGCTCACGGCTTAATGTGAACACACAATCTCTCTGAGGATGTTGCTCATTCACTGAGGTTGCTTACTAGTAAATATGTATTCGATGCACAGCAACCTTGTCAGCATTAGCGACACCAGTGAACAGAACAGCTTATTCCGCTTCGTATCTTTGCAAAGAGGTGTAAACTAAATTTATAAAATAGTACGCATGAGATAATCAAAACATGAATCAAATATTGAATAGCTCCCAGTGCCTCAGTATAAAGACCGTAGAATTGACAGTGAGCCAACGTTTCTTAACCGACTCAACTTCCGCACTCTTTCAACACAAATCCAGCACGTCTCTCGGTGGGCATTTAAAAAGGAATCAAGGGATTTTGCTGCAAAAAGTTGCCGTAGAACAGGCATGGGTTGCAACACACCTCATAGCATAGGCATCGTGCCCTTCAACGTTGCTACTTAGCAGAGCACGTACGCGACAGGAGCCAAGAAATCTGTAATACGTCTTCCCCCTCCAGCAATTTGTTCTACAATTCTATCACTCAGCTACGCAAAGTCGAGCAGGCCTTGCGTTTGAGGGTGCCTGATAAATTCTTCCATTAATCCTACCGGAATTTCCACTGTACTGACATCTATGGATACATCGTGGGCCTACAGCTAGATGCTTGTGAAGTAGTCCCCCACCAGGTCCATTATGTCATCCACGCCAGCCGGTCAAAGCAGATTCATGTTAGATGGTCGATGTATCTGTGTGAACATCTGTCCACCATAGCACCGACCCCCGTCACGGCCCTGAATATCGACGTAAGAAAGTGATCTCCATACAGGTATAGATTTCGGCGCGGCCATTTTCGAAAACTGGACTGACTTCAAAGACGATGCGAAGAAAGATCCATGCGTTCCGTCCAATATACCCCAGCCAGGGAGCCCTTTCCTGTGTCTTTCTTAAAACATGTAAGTCACTCATTGTCTCGCCGATCGACAAGCTAATGATGGGCAGGAAACCGTTGACGGCGCACCAAAGTAGTCTGGACCCAGCACTATCAGTGCTCCGCGCAAAATCACGGCTTACAGGCCATTTCTTACCCTATCATTTCAAACCATGCAACATGTCCTCTGTGAAGACTGCAAAGCAAGGTCGCGGACCAACAACAGGACATAAGCTCTAACGTTCGTTCTCTGCGATGAGGTGGGTGGAATATCGCCCCTCCTAATGTGCCGGTTTTGATTTTCTGCTAAGTCTATGCCACAGACACGAACCCCACTGACACTTCCATACCGTTGTAGGAGCAGCCCATCGCCAACCGCGAAAATCTTATGGCGAATAAACTATTCGCGCCGAATCGGGATACGACCAAAGGGGCAGACGCGCCATTGCGTCTTACGCCCTCCTCGCCTGCCTCACACCGTCGACAACGGAGTGCCTCTACACGAAGGCAGTCTCCCAATACGACTGTACAATTTTTGTCACAGGTGGGTTCGTCGCGCGCTAGTGCCATCTTATGAACTTGCCCAGTGCATCCAGTGCGTTCTCGAAGCGACAGCCGGAGAGTGCGACGAACTGGACACAACATGGCATATTGGTGACTGCATTGCAGAAGACAATTGGAAGTGATCTAGTTGGTAAGCTGGTAGGATGACGATCTTAATTGACCAACTATCTCAAGCGTATGCTCGGGGATTCTTCATCAACAACGTAAGAAGTACAACACCTCGTCAAACTGGATCAACACTTGCTGACTCGGATCTCACCACAGGAAGACACTCTCAGATTCTCACACTCGTATGCGAAGCGAGCTAATGTCTGGGCTGCTCAACCTCCCTGCATCAACACCATCGCATGCTCTGTTTCTTCCACATGAATACCGATGGTATCGATGATCGCGAGCTCGACCTTCTCGCAGTGGATTTTGTTCATCAGATCATGCGCTGGTATGCCTACCTGATGGAAGACCCAATGGAGCGTATAGCAGTGTCCGCCTCTCGGCATTCGAACAACCTCATAGGATAGCTTGCTTGCGGCTCGGATCCCCGGCGTCCAGTGGGTGACCATCGCTGTCCTCAGATGGCGTCTGCGTCTCTCGAGCCCGAGGAGCCGATGTTTCGCCTTGCTTGAGCCGTACTTTCGTAGACGGCCAGGTTGTTGGTTTAAGTGTGCGTGCAAGGAGAAGGTGAGGCGAAAGTCCAGTCATTTCTAGCCGAATAAAATAACAATAACCATCTCAGCTTCAAATCAAGTGGACAAGACCGAGGACAGCCGGACCAAAGATAGGGCCCATGAAGAAGCGCTGTCTGATATGATACACTTTTAGTATACAATTCTGCGAATCAGACACTAGTTGTGAACGTCTTTCAGTTTTCTTCTGGTGAACTCCTTTTTCTTCGACAACACCACATCAAAATGGTCTCAATCAAGATTTCCTGTGCAACTGTCTTCGCCGTACTTGTTGCCCTAGTCCAATCCTCTCCCACTATCGTCTCTGCGTTTCTAGATAAACGCCAGTGTCTTTATTGTGATTATGCTGGACCCGTATGTTATTAACCTTCCTGTAGCTGAATGTTTTGTATTTCATCCTTTGCTGGCCGTTACATTTAGCACTGCACTGCATGCAATTGGATCTGTCAAGATCCGATAACTCAGACACTTGCGCGTATGGCTGCAGTGGGGATGCGCGATTGGATTCATAGATAACGCCTAAGCCTCGCCGTGGCCCTTGGCTCGTCCACAGGCAGCCCGGCCCGGCTTGGACAGCACCCTGGTCGCCCGCCAACAGGATTTTGGGCTTGCCACTTATTGGCTTCCTTGGCATAATTAGGAATTCAGGATGAATAGATCGCTAATTCTGCTTGATATCTTCCTTTTTCAAAATTTGTTTCGCTTAGACGTTGACACGGCTCGCCAAGGCCACCCGGGTACTCTGTACCTGCTTTTCCATATGGTTTTGTATGGTAAAAGGGCCAGTTTGGGATATCGGCATCGTAACACGCCCGAATACCCGAAGGCTATGAGACGCCTTCAACAGCGACCTGGTAATTAATTCTTCAATAAAATCGATTAATTGGCTCCTTCAGTGCTAGCATGCACGAGAATCCTTCAACCCGTTAGAATCCACTAATTGCATGTGCTAAAAACAACACTAATTGTGCCCCCCGAGCGGACGAGGAGAGGCGACAAATAACACATGGGAAACAGCAAGGATTATGAAGAGAAAATAGAAAAGCCGAACTAACAAAGTTGATTGAGCAGTCTATTAGTAAGAAGAGACAATGGCGGCCATGGGGATTGAAGGAGGAAAGATCTGATAGGGCCAGAAGGGCTTGTAAAAGGCCCGAAACTGGTTGTGACTGTGATTACCTTCAGGCACGCATACAAAGAGGAAAGCAGAAAATGATAAATAGAAAAATCCTCACTGCAATAATTAATGAAAGGCTGGAAGCGACTAGACGTCATAGAATCCGGGTCGAACAAGGCAAAGAGAACACAAGATCAGTAGGGTGGCTGATCATGCCTGGTATTAGAAAACCTTGCAGTTAGTCAACCAAACCCATTTTGAAATTCCTCAACATGGTGGCTGATTTAATTGCCAGAGAAGCCATCCTTCAGATTAACATATGTGCTGGTGGGATAGTTCAAGTTGTGAAGAGACTGATCCAAAGCGCCAGCGCCTCCAAACAGAGAGACAGTGGTGCCGATGAGACTCAGAGTATCGTTTCGGTCCATGCTAACTTCCCACCAGGCGGTGCCAGCAAGACCCAAACACTGAACATACTCAGCCTTCAGGGCAGCTATCTCAGGAGTATCATAGCTAATCAGGTATTTCTGCTTGGCGTCGTAGCTGTAGCTTCCGCCGACACGGGGAACGTTAACAACCTTTACGTCGATTTTGGTAGGGAAGCGCGTTTAATTCAAAGCCCGCGGTACCAAGACTGCCCTGCGTGCCGCCATTGGAGAACTTATCGCCCACGCCATTAGTGCCATTGAAGACACGACCGTACAGCGGGTTCTCCAGAACGATCTTGTTGGGTGGAACCCGACCGTTAAACATGTAAAAATCAAGGCTCGAGTTTGTATCATAATAGTTGCACGTGGATTGCGGACATCCGGGAACAAGTTTGACAAGTAGCCAGAGTAATTGCTGAATCCGGGTCCCATGTAGTCCAAAGCCATAACAGTGTAGAAATCGAGATACGGGGTCATGCTAGTGAGGTTAACATGACAGCCTTGTCCTTGTCCGCTGGAGAGGCATAGCTGATCTGGAATGGGGATGTAGCACGTCTGTCTTCTCTGCCAGTTGGTCCAGACTCTGGCGCAGACGCTTAAGCAAATCGACCATCTGCGCCGCTTGACTGTGGTCTGCGACGTACTCATAATCGATATCAATTCCATCAAGCCGAGATCTGCGACCAATTGGACGGCCGTATCAAAAAATTCCGCCGCTTGGTGCTAGATACAAGCATAAAGAAAGGTGGGGGGAGGATTCTCGCGGTAGCTCCACCCACCGATGGAAAGCATAGTTTTGAGATGGCGGTGCTTCTTCTTCAACAGGAACATCTGCTTGATATTCCCACATACATTTTCTCCCGGCGCAGTGGTATTATCTCCAGGGTACGCATACTGGAGATCGGCCCAAGTGTCACTCAATATCCTATGTATAATGTCTTTTAGCTAGGCCTACTCTCCAAAGACGTTGATGTGTTCATACACGCTGCCAGTAGTAGTGTTGACGTTGGCGAAAACATAGACAAGATGGGTCAAGTTCTCTGCTGGAACATCGGTGATGAAGTAGTTGGCTCCGTAGATATCCTGTATGTATCGCGAAAGTACTATTAAACTAAAATTCGTCGGGGAATGAAAGTTCAGCGTGAGTTCGCTCGTACCCAGTTGCCGAAGTAGGCAACGGCTTTCATCCCACCGTGGATTCCACCGCGGTGCCCGCAAGAGATTTCAAACTTGCCATATCTATGATAATGTCTAGGCTTCTCATGCTGGCCCAAGGCACTGACAACAACGACGAGAAAAGTGGAAAGGGAGCTGAGACGCAATTTACGACAGTGGTGTTCTAGGCGAGGCCTCCGTTTTGAAATGATCAGTTCAGGGAATGACTAAGGTAAGTATACAGGAACAAGGAATGAGTGGACGGTTCAACAAAAGTAACCGGGCGATACTGTCCTCGAAACTGGTGCAAATGCGACCCTTTCATAATTTAGTGAATATGGGGTTTCTTAAGATTACAGTCAACCTTGTATGCAATCCCCTGTTAGGTCCGGCAAAAGGGACACAGTTAGCAGCCTTCGGACGCCCCGAAAGGCTCGATTCATCTTAAATAAAGTTCAGGAGCAAAGGTAAGCCCGGTTGACGCACCACTGGAGCTTCATGAAAGTGCGGAGCTAATTAGAGCAGATTATTTATCCGGCCGAAATTTCTCCATCAGCATAACATTGAGTTCTAGAGGAATTTCGGGTGGATATATGTTCAGTTTTAGGTAACGGATCCGCAGATCTTACGACCAAGACCAATGGGTGGCGCGATGAAAATTGAGGAAACGCAGATAAGGCATCTCTCTTACTTTTCGGTACGGAGAGACCCTTGTGTGCCTTACTGGTCACCACCGCGTACGTACTCCGTAACCGTAAGCAAAATTGCCAAGAAACCAACAGGTCCTACACACCTTATTCAAAATACTCGCCATTCTATTGGCCGGCTACGGGCCTTTGATTCGAGTCGGAATGATGCCTAGTAAGCACGCGCCCACAGTTGTGGAGCAGCATCTGTAAGTGGAAGCGAATGGATTCGGGAGGCGCGCTAGGAGTGAGGCGGCATTATATTAAACACATTACTAAGGTACAGTGACCCAGCCCATTTTGTCTCAACCCCGCCCACCGTGAACCTTCCGAGATTCTCTGCGTCTCTCATATTCGGGTAAGTTATGTAACCGTTCTGTAGCGACTCGAACTAACTTTACAAGTCGAAAGGTAGTTGCCCCATTCCCATCGCAGATTACAGCCTAGCACTAGGGAACCAACTGGCATGATTGACGAAATATCAAAGAGACCGTGACTGAGAATTAAACTGTTACTCTACATCATCGCATGAGTTTTGGTAATGTGGAGATATCCAATCCCGACAACCGAAATGCTGCCGCATTGGAAGATCCATCGGTTGGTTTCCAAATCGTTAACTATGCCCCGTATTCGTGAGTTCTACTTGCCGTATGCATCTTGTAAGCGGGTATTGTGGAGCAAGCCGCGGCGCAATTATTGTGTCGTTCCTGGGGTAGTAACCACAATTGAAGTAGCCTATGGGATTCCTGCAAATCACCGACGATAAGGAGGGCACAACATCATACCTGGATAGAAGTGAGATTAAAGTTAAACCTCGGCTCGGATGATCTCCCATCAGAATTTTTGATTGTACAGTGGTGTAACAGAAGTATTTGACCTCCGTTACTTCCCTAGCAACAAGTACTCGCGCCGGGGGCGCCAAACCCCTACAATATTGGGGCCAGTACATATTAAGTTTAAGAGGCGGTTTCATAGATAACTGGGGAGTTCAACTTATACATACCTAAAAGGACCGTCTCCACAAAGGGTTAACTGCAACAGAAAGGTGGTATCCTGTGTTGCCAAAAGGCCTTCCGTAAAGTAATATCAAGGCGGCATAACTGTCCTAATTGGCGGAAGAGGAAACTAGGATATCTTTCTTTATCCGTTTTAGTCTTACCTTGAGGCATTTGTCTCAGACAACGGGAGGTAGGAAACAATCAACTGAATACCTGGCTTACAGGCTCGGCTATACCGATTGTGCTCTAAGCTAAGGAAAGCAATCCCCGTCTCTATTAACCTCGCACCTCCTTGCCATATATGTCTACATAGGCTCAATAGTAACTAGCTCAACGATGGAAATTTTCACTTTCGTTACTTTTTACGTGTATTCGCCCTCAACCCAAACTTTTGGCGTTAGAGTTAGAGTTTAACATGCCATTTCAACGCCTCCGCGATAAAATACAAGGTCAGCAGCCGCACTTGACACACGACACCCATCAACGGAACTATGGGCGAAAATTAACTAAGAGCTTTGGTGCAGTAAATATCTCTACTCAATGCCTCGCATGCTGCGCTAGCGATAGTAATAGTGGGAGTGTGCAAAGAAGACTTGTTGAAATTATGCTGATCACGTCGAGGAAGAACTCAGTATGACAATTATCGAGCAGATCCGAAAACGTTCGACCTCATCAGGCAGAGACTAGAGGAGGTAATCGACTACTGGCCCAGACCATTAGCATCATCTAGCACTGGATTGGCATCTAGAAACTGCGGTCCGGAATTCGTGGCGTCATACCGAGGAACAGTACATTTCTATGAATCTCGCTTCAAAACAGGCCCGAGTTATTCCCAAGTCATCAATGAGAATAGTTAACTTAGAGTTTCAGCTCAACGTTAATAGAATTACAAATAAATACAGCTAAAATGGTAATGATTCTATCGAATACCATATGGTATTCCCTGTCGTGCGGCGGTCTTGGGCATGTAAAGTCTAACAGCGCCACTGGGGAATCACGTACACGGAAGAAAAAGAGAAAAGCTCATTTGGAAAATTAAGCTTTTGGTAAACGGCAGTGCTGCGGGCCGAGTGACCGGCGATCCCTGGCCTCTCGAGTCCTTCCTACACTGTAGACTCTCAGCACTCTCAACTCTGTCTGCCGCCCAAGTCTACCCACACTGCCCTCCGTGCCATTGACCGCTACTCCTTCAGAGATAAATGGAGTTTCTCAGCCCCATTTTTCGTTCCTGTCTTTTTGCCCCTTTTCTTCCCACACGTCGCTCGCTACCCTCGAAGCATTTCTGCTGTTGTCTTTAAGTATTTCGTCCCACTTTAGTCATTCTTTGACAACTATGGACAATATTCAGGTCTTTTGACTCGTAAATTCTGCGTTTTCTGCAGTCAGCCGGGCGAAGTACTGGAAACTCTATGCAAGAACTCCACTTGGCTTGATCCCACCGAATGTAGCGGGAATGTTTGAATACCAGGATTTTAATCTAAACAACGCAACCTGTGAGCTCCAGCCAAAGCTGCAACTCCACATGTGCATTTATATAAGTTTCACATTGATATGGAATAAAGGGATGCGGTGGGGGAATAAGTACCCCTTTGTTCTTCGTTAAATCGGCCGGAATTGTCCCCTCTCACTTGGTGTCGTTGTCTCTGAAAGTTGTGCCAATAATTCAATCCAAGAACAATATAATGCCGACATTGTGACTCTGGCTATCTCTCCCGGAATTTTTTCGCCCCTGAGTTTGATTTGTACGGCTTAGCAGGTCCCCAATTCTGATGGATTACGAAACCAACGAACAACTTATAGCCTGGATGCTCCGGACAATTCCTCCGTCTCTTATTGTCAACTCACCGGTCAGTATGGCACCCTGTTATATTATTTCCTATATCTGAGTGTCGTTATAAGGGTCTACTTGGGTGCTTTCGCGGCTTTGTGTTCCAATGCACAGAAACCGAACGACGGATCCTCTTCGACTCGCCATCATATCAGGAAGGGGCAGCTACCATGGCCTTGGAAGTAGAAAGGTCTATGGAATCTTGTCAACAAGTTTTTTCGCTTGATATCACCCCTTCATAGCTGAAGCTGCATCAAGCCCTGTTGTGATTAATCTGGAACAGAGGACTTGTTTCCCTTCCACTCCAGAGGAATCGGAGACACCCAACTTCTCGCTGGTTGCTTCTGAACTGTCTCCATCCGTTTCCTCCCAGCCAGACGGGGTGGTTGAGACCGGCTCTACCGATGCGGCCTATGCTCCTCTGGAGAACCATACGAATGCGGCGGCTTTCTTCGGGCCAGATTGGGATCTCGAAACTCAAGGGCAACTCATTCTGCCCGGCGCTCCAGGGTTTAATCAATGCCATGGAACTCGATGGAGCAACATACGCGAATCTTTGGTCCACTCGGGAAAGGATTTTCTCCGGCGTTGGTACAAGTCCAGTCGCTCGCTTTCAGAGACTGTTTCATGGTTTTTCTTCGGGTGAAGCGTGGCCGCGATGATTATGATTGTAAAGTCGCCTCTTTCACATATTCTTGGATCATGATCTTGAACAGTTGGCGACCTCTGACCTCCTCCGCTTATCCCGTGGCCGTGGCAGAAAGTCTGCCGCTTTGTCTTTGCAGGCAGCAAGCATATCAGCCTCCATAGACGCTGTAAAAGCCGATCGTAGGGCTGGCCAAGGTACATGCAAATTCTGATGGATGCCGGCCCGGGGCTATTGCTCATGCTTGGTAGCCAGATAAACACAGTGTAAGTGTGTTGTACGCCTTCCAGACATTTGCAAGAAACTGACTAGATTGAAACAGGTGGGAAAGAAAACTAAGTAAGGGAGATGTCTCTCTTCTATTGGAATATCTCAGGTTGCAGCGGCCTGAAATCCTGGAGAAAGGCTGCTCACTGGACAAGGTGGCAACAGCATTGATTCTTCAGGGTTTCTTAGCGTATGGCTGGACGTACAAGGAACTTTCCGAACGCCCGTCTAGAGTGGTGAACCGACTGCGCTCGTACATCGATGTTGCAGAACTAGCATCACGGCATGATATAGATCTATCGCTCTTGGTCAACCCCTCGGTTGCACCTTACTCGCGCCGGTCAGCTATGACGGAATAACACTCGGATAACGCACAGCTAAAGTGCTTCAACTCTGCATCCTGTCAGGCTCATGAAACACGCCTGCACCTGTTTCACTTAAACGTAACAGACCCTCCATCGGAGATGGGCGAAAAAATATCACGGAGTTGATCGCTGATGATTCACCAGAGACGATGCCTCACTGGTGCGACGCTACTTAGGAAACCATACCTTTTTCCAGCTAGCCTTCTTTCGCGCAAGTTGTGCCCTGGACTTCTCTACGTATGTAAAAGTGGAATTTTAAATTGCAAACACACTATGACAGTGACTTCCTTTGTCCGTGTCGGGACATATCCTTCAGCCAGAATAAGCAAAGACATGTTGTACGTAATCTTGCTAAGCTGCGGCTCCCGCCGTATGGATTCAGGGGCATTGGACCACGACCTGGAATACACATCTATCTACATGAATCAATCAACTTTCGCTTTAGGGGCATGAACACTGTTCACTTAACTGTGTACACGGTACCTAGCTGGTGATACCAACGAAAATAATGAACGTTCACATTTCACTTTACTAGAAAAGGGTGCAGTCTGTCATTGGAATAGTAGAAACTTGCGCGTTGCCTACAAAATGCTTGGCAATCTCGCAAGCTCGGATGCAACAACGCTCTATCTTTGGGAAGGTTTGGTAATCGTTACGCATGTAATTCCCTTTCTGAAAACGACTCAAACACCGATACAGAAAGAAACTAGATCCTAGATATTAGCTCTAGTAGCTTATCGGTATGTATTTTACCTGTCACGACTGAGTTCCTGTTGCCTTGGAATCATGTCTCCTGGCTACACATGTAATTTGGATCATTGTATGCCAGAAATAGTTTTCGGTTGGAATTAGGAATTATGGTTATAACAGCATTTCAAAATACACATATTTATCAATCTTCTATACCGGTTGAAAAACTTCTATTTCGTCCTGAATATAAGTCTTATTCCAAAAACTCACTGGAATGTATCAGTCGTAGTAATTACTCCAGGCGTAAAAAATCGACTTCGCAGCCTATCTTCCGAACCCTCATTAAACCATATAAATGGTCTGGTGATCACACAATTTGGACGACACATTGCTTATTCATTGTCGAGGTTCCATGTACTCTTGGTTCTTATTCGATCCTGTCGCTTGAACTTTTACTACAAAGTACAACGTAACTCATGCGTGATATTACTTGTAATAATATGAGGCTGGCCTGTTCATGCTGTGAAAAGATACTGTGCATCCCCATGCATCTTTGTGCGGGCTAATTGCTCGCATCCCCGATAGTAAAATCGAAGGGCAGATGTTTAGTGCATTCGCGCTAACGCTCCACGGAGTCCGGCATATAAAGTAGTCCTCAATCTTTTGAGTTCGTGATTTTCGTCCCGACGCACTTGCTTGGCAGGAGCACTGCTCTCTTTCCGATCTTATGCTTAGGCCTCTCCCTATTCCTATATAATGCTCGATTCTCGGCAGGTCACTGCTGATACTGTTCTCATCCCTTCTGTGCCTGGTTGATTCACTGTTGATTGAGAAAAACAAAAGTTCGAACATGGCAAAGAATCCCAAGCATCCTCAGAATAACGCAGACCTCAGGTCTGACGGCGTACGGCGGCGTGCTGCACCGTCTTATTCCCTTCGTTCTACTGGTCCTGAGACCAAGGATAGACGAAAGTCACGCAAACCAGAGACGAAATCACACAGAGATTCGGTACGCCAATGCTCACCTGTTTGGATCGTACTACGCTATGGCCAGAACAGCCCCGGCGGCATCCCTTTTATTTCAATGTACTCTTACTGACCATGCTAGACATCCTCAATTACGAAGAAGCCCAAAAGGGAAACCGACAAAGCGACGCTAGAAAGTGTCTCCGGGTGATGAGCAATATTGAGGAGGAATTTCAAGAGGTGCTTGAGGAGAGAGATGGAGAGAACCACGATCTTTCTCAGTTGCTGGACCAGCTCAAGGCTGAGAAAGCGCAAAAGAGTTCGGAATTGCAAATCGCAGTTACGGCGAGGGATACCGCATTAGCCGAGCAGCAGAAGCTCCAGCGTGAGATTTGCCAATTGCAGCAGCAGGTGGAATCCACGAACACCGCTTTGCAAGATCAGGTCCCGTGGAATGATATATAGCTGGTGTTGGATCAGGCACACGCAGAGCTGGTTTCCACGACCACTCGATTCTGGAGCACGATCGACGCCTTCAGAACAGACGATTGGCATCCTATTTGCCAGGCTCCGGAATGATCCAGGCGGAATGGCCTGATCAGGGCGGCGCGGGTACGCTTGGCCACGATATGCTCCCCAGCATCTCCCAATCGAACAATGACAATGTCCCGCTTGGTACTCAACATGAACTAGCTACCACCAACTGAGATGAGCACAATTGGGGTGTGTTGATTGGGCAAGGTCCTACTGATGGAGTGAGCTAGCTTCTATGTATGGAAAGGACCGAAACTCTTACGAGTCATGTCTTTCCTGCAGACGACTGGCTTTTTAATATAGCCGACGCGCAGATAGTTCATGAAGAAGCATTCGCCACATTCTTATTATACATGTACCGTGCGAAATTGTGTATTGTCAATTCTGTTAATTGCCCTGAAGGGGACGGCTATGTGCTTTTGTCTAATAGATCCGAGCACGGGCGGCTCGAGGCAGTATTCGGTGCAGATTAGCGGCAGAGTCCGCTACAACCTCCACGGCCGATTTATTATGCCATAAATAAATATAAGCGTAGATTGGACTCTTACTTATGGCGAGACAGCCGTAGAGTATTCGACATCACACCGCTCCAGGCCGAGACGCCCGGGTACGCTCTGGATGAGAGAAAAGGCCCTGCCACGCGGGCCTGTGGATTTGTTACACACTGGGATCCCTTGCCGTAAAGTAAACGCATTTCCAACGGTCCTATCCGAATATTACTTATATCTGTGCTATGGGTTTCATGGAGAAATCCGCGCTTCTCTTGCGCATTATAGCCATTAGTTCTTCTCGGCGTTCAGCCAAAGCTTGCCGTAGTATCCTGGTCCAGCCCAATCACAAATAGCAATTGCTCGTTGAGTGGGATATCGCAAGTCGATAGATGTGGCACTACTGTGCGAGTATCAACTGCTAAGGATCGCACCTTGCTATATGGCGTATGATTCTAGAGCACTACTGTAGGATTAGCCTTCTTGGGAATTTCGTCACTTATACAGACCAAGTACAAGCATAGTGAGCCAGTCAATACAAATCAGCTGCAATGATGGAAATAATCAAATCTTTAATCTACTCGGTAAAATGTGGTGGCTCGCGACAATAGCACGAGGGTTCAAAAAGCCATCTCGGTACAGTCCATATACCAGTCAAACTTTTCTGTCTGCAGAGCTTAGAAGATCACTGGTAAAATACAAACACCCCATGCAACGACAAACGGTCCATCGCTCGCCATGGCGTCAGTTTGGCATTGAGTCAATCGAGTTTTGTCCAGTGACCGTCCAATCCAGCGTCAATGATGAGCGTGTTCATATTCTGTTGGTTGAACTGGTGGTCATACCTCAAGACCAATACAGACTGATCTTGGTCTGATATACATGGTTCGGCATCCAAGTAAAGCTCCAGTCGCATCACTGCTGCCGGCGCAGGGATCGGCCGATCTTCTGGCCCTCTGTAGCTTTATTTGAACCCTGCCGTGTCCCCTTTTGGATCTCACTTTCGACGATTGCCAATCGACCAAAAATGTCGGCCAGGTCATTGCGTATCGTTTCATTCCAGGTGGCTTGGTCCTGCGATGAGCGCTCAATAGACCTGCGAAGACAGTTAGCGCTTTACATTGTCACTCAAGATGGACCACTACTGACCGCATCCGATTATCTAGTCTAGATGTTGTTAGCAGGCCAGTCTTGATTATGTGCTTGATAGGATTGTACTTAATCCGTCAGGCATTCCAGAGCAACCGAACTGCCATCTCCGGAAAGCTGAGTCTGCCCGCGTGGTTCCAAGTCCCTTTGGTGTCCAAACACAGTCTTCCGCTGTCGTACAGCTTCTTGCTCACTCTCATCGGCCGAGGTGCTATTGTCCTGGTCGACAGAGTCGTGTTCCTCCTGAAAGGATGAATCGTCCTCTGTGGTATCGCCTGTAGCGGATGGACTACCAGTATCCTCAGACTCAGAAGACGACAAGGACAATGCACGTTGCAATCGGCTTCGAAAGTTGTGTCGTCGAGGAGTGTGCGAGACTTTCCGAATTCCGCCCATACTTGGGTCTGAGTTACGCTGGGGTGAGGAGTGGTCCTAGTTCTGGTTTTCTGTGATAGGAGGAGGCGCTCGGGTTTTATAGCATGTTGTATCGCAGGATCAGGATTGACTGCTTGCTCGCAATTGAGGAGGGGTTCGCAAGTGCACGCATTTTTCATTCCTACATTCTGCCCGTAGATATCTATTTCTGAATCTGCGCATTTTTAACAATGACTCACTAAGAGGCGGATCAGACAATAGAATTCAAAAATGGGTGAAACAACGGGAAATTGTCAACAAGAATGGACTCTTGTGGCCGCGTTCAACGTTGTTGATTCTCAACGATGTGCGTTGCATCAAAAAATGAGGGCTTGTTTGGGTCAAATCTCATAGACACACAGAAGTCGATTTTATCTGCCACACTTCAATCTTTTAAACTCAACAACCCTACATCTTCAAGTTTACTTTCTGCAGTTTTCTTCACCTGTTCTGACCACTTCTGCCAACTACCCAAGCATAACCATGTCCCCACGTAACGCTTGCGGCTGGCCAGAATGGGAGGAGAAAAACCTTCTTCCATGGTTGGATGCTCATCCGGAGCTGTCGTGGAAAGCTCTCCCGACGCATATTATGAAGAATACCAGGTGCATCGAAGCGTTGAGTCTTTACGAGGAAAAAAGTACCATATCCTGCGGAAGCAGAGTCGCACTGGTGCCAAATCTCCCCCAAATCCAAGCAAACAAAAGCAAGCAGGCGCCGTACGGCGCTCCGTGGTCGGTAGCGCTTCACGGT